CCAACTTTACTATTCAGCAACTATGACGCCACCAAAAAATTTTGCATTCGAGTTATAATGCTTGTTTTCGTAAGAACTTCGTTTGTCTTCAGTTTCCTTTAGCAGTCAACAATTCGTTTTTGCATCATCGCCGTGAAAGCTGACAATTTATAAATGATAAGTGGAGAGGACTTGCCTAATGTTTGAAGCCAAACAATTCCTTGGCTTTGAGAAAAAATTGAGAGATTTGCTTACACTTTGTTGAAATTTCTTCAGCATTCTTATTGGACACACATTGATTGCCGAATTGTTTAGATTAAAATGACTGTATTGATGTCAGATCTACCTTCTGGGTGAGCTTTGCGACTGCTATGGGTTTGTGCGTACCCATGAGTGGCGTTCGAGAATGCACCTTCTAGACGCACTCTGTATTTATCATTCAGGAGTATTCCACAATGAGAGGTCATACAGATGTTATAAAGCGAAAATAAATGGTGACTTGTGCATCCCCGACACCATAGAAACCTGTTGTGAAAAAAGTTATTTAAAAAACGCAAGTTGTGGGTTGTGATACTCAATATAGAAGCAGTGAGTAATTCGCACCGACTTACATGAACGTTCAAGAAAGGATAACCAATATGCAGCTGAATACAAAACCGGCGATTGCGGATGTTAATGCGGATCCACTAGTCATTACGGTGCTTTCTTTCTCGCCTATGCAAACGAGACATGGAGCTAATTATGTCAAGCAAAACATGTGCGTCACTCAAATGTAAACTGTATAGTAGGGAGTGGCGACAACTGTGTCGTGCCGGTAGGTTTAACAGTGTTTACTTTGAATATGATACAGGAAACACTACTGCAGATAAGCATAGTATGATAACACACCAGCTTACCAATGCGGAGCATTTTAATGTCTTCAGTGAATTTCAAAATGGTCTCTTTCGCTCTCACCGCTTCTACAGTCATTTCGTATAATGTGGAGGGCCTCAGCTCGCCCAGAGTGAGTTGTCCGACTAGGAATGGTGCGGTTTGTCTCTTGCAGACTAAGGGGTCAGAAGGAATCACCGCTTTTAGGAAATATTTGTTCCTTGGAGGCTAGACAAGTGTTGGACTTCCCAACTTGAGCGAATGCCCTGAGGACCCACAAGAGTCAAACTGAAGTGTTTACGGAGCGGACTCTCTGTTGTCTTTGTCTCTACTGAAATTGATAACATGCTATTAAGCTAAAACGTTTCAGGCATTTCGTTTCACATAGCCACAGAAAAGGAGCGCATTTACACTAGACATGATGGCTGAACTAGGAATGGGTGACAGGACATCACTACATTGATCTTCTTGATAGAACTGAAAATGAGCATTATCCTGCAATGTTGATTTGTAGATCAAAATTATACGCAAGCTTGTGAATTAATTTGAAGCCTGATAATATTGCTTGCATGTCATTGCACAGAAATCATAAAAAGCAAGAGGGATTTTAAAGGAAGGAGAACTGAACATGGAATATGGAGTCAGTGACTTAACCCAGTGGTGCCAAATTTTTTTGTCTTAAACGTTGTATTCAAAGAGTAGAGGCAGTTACTTTATCACTAGCAATGTTTGCCTGTTTTCGCTAAGCC